CAGCCTGCAGCCGGCCCCGGCCCAGCCCCCCGGGGACGCCGCGGCGCGGGCCTCGGTGAGCAACGGGGAGGACGCAGGCGGCGGCGCAGGCAGGGATCTGGTGGACCTCAGGATCATCTGGAACAAGACCAAGCACGACGTGAAGTTCCCGCTGGACAGTACGGGTTTCGAGCTCAAGGAGAAGATCCACTCGATCACAGGTAATCCCCGCGACGCTGACGGCCGGCCGGGCGCCCGCTGGCCGCTGTCCTGGCGTCGGCGCCCTCGGTCCTCGTCGCAGCCCGCCGGAGTGAGTACCTGAGTGCCCATGACTATTGAGTTGGGGAAAATGAGATTCGGGAGTCTGGAGCTTTGAGGGGCTGAGCCGGGATTCGAGCCCAGCCTCTAACTAGTGTTGCCCTAACATCTCTAGTAAAAATCACCCAAGGCACTTGTCAAATTTACAGCGCTTACACCTTTTCCTGAAGATTCTGATTTAGTGGGTCTGGGAGGTAGCCAGGAATTTAATTTTAGCAAATATCTTAGGTAATTCTCATAAGGGAAGTTTGGGAAACACTGCTATTAACTATCATGCTGATCCTTCATAGTTGCTAATATTTCTGTTATGTCTTGTGTATAGCGTTTTGCTACCTGAAATAATTTCTTTTTTTTAAGCTTTCTCCATGTAGTCTGTAAGCGCCATAGGAACAGGACCTTTATCCTTTCTGGCTTGTGTATCCTGATACCTGTGGAGTCTCACTTAAAATTTGAGTGATGACAGGATTGAGGAACAACTTGGAAAGAGTGATAGCTAATATTTGTTGGACAATTACTGAATTCCAGACACTGCGCTAAATGCTCTACATTTACTTTTTGATTTTTAAAACAAGTATGTACAGAAGGACCTACTCTCACCACTGTTATAAAGTAATGGAAATTGAGGCTCAGAGGTTGTGAATTGTCCAAGTTCAGAAAGTCAGTAGGTGGTGGAGCCATATTAACTTCCTCATCTGTTACTGAAGGTCCATACATTTTTCGTTCTTTTCTTTCACTGTCTGCCCTCTACCTTTTCCCAAGGTCTCCCGCCTGCCATGCAGAAAGTCATGTATAAGGGACTCGTCCCCGAGGATAAGACATTGAGAGAAATAAAAGTGACCAGTGGGGCCAAGATCATGGTGGTGGGCTCCACGATAAATGATGTTTTAGCAGTAAACACACCCAAAGATGCTGCACAGCAGGATGCAAAGGCCGAAGAGAACAAGAAGGAGCCTCTCTGCAGACAGAAAGTGAGTCCGCTGTGTGTTTGCTGGTCCTGAGAAATTTGAGGCTTTGTCCTCTTGAGCCTTGGCTGGTTATATTCTCCCTAGAATAAGCTCCTTTTTGGACAGGGTCCATGATGGAAATTTATGGCAGCAGTTGGGTGCGGCAGAGTGGAGGTGACAACTACCTGAGATTTGCAACTTTGTCTCATCTGGCGGGTCAGTGTGTCTCAAGTCTACCTACTTTAGGATAAGGCCTTTGTAAAGGGAGGCTTTAGACCAGGTGTTGAAAGGAATCGGACATGGGTTTCTCTCTATTAGTGTCAGAGAAAAATGCTAGTACTAGAATTAATCCCCCATTTTGTAGTGCTTACATTTGTTTTTTGATTTGTGGCTTCCCCCAGTCAACAAGCCCAGTTCTGGACAGGCATGGAAATCAACGATTTTCAGAGGTTCCTCTAAAGCTGACCATTTCAGGAAGCCAAATGAGACTGAGAAGGAAGATAAACACTGCTTTTTTGTCCTCCTCATTCATGAAATGGGGCCTGATTTTTCACACTGTCTAATGCTCGTTTTGTAAGGAAGAGATCTGGTCTTGTCTTGTGCTCATCACAGCCATTAGAATTCTTTTTGACATAGGAAGAGTGAGACTATTTTACTGTAGGAGGAACAGGTTGGAAGAATCCTCACTTGCCTTTTCATCACCCAGCACATCCAATTGCTTGCTGAACAGCCTCCTGGCTGCTCTTGGCATCAACAGGAAAGCAGATATTCTCACCTTCACCGGTGTAGTGAGTTGAGTATATCAACTCAAACCAACATCAGTTTTAGTGACTGTAGAGACTAGGATTTATGCTCAATAATGGGAGGATACAATTTCGTGGTATAGATCCATAATCCCTTCAGAAACCCAAAAGCGGTCTGAAAACCAGAAGTGTTTTTATAAATTTGGCAGTAAAACCTGTCCAGCATTAGTGTGAATATTTATGTTTTGGTATAGAAATATCAATGTACCCCATACTGGCTAGCTGCCAAAAAAAAAAAATATATATATATATATATACATATATATATATATATATATATGTTTTAACATGTTTGGTGACAAGATGCTGCTCCAGACCCCATGGAGGATATTATGTAATGTATTTTTTAACTATATTATATTTATAAAACCCCTAAAACTCTATCCAAAACATTCGTTCATGGGGTTTTGGATAAGGGATTGTTAAACTATATCAATTCTAAAGGATGTATTTGGACACTTTTCACCCCCAAATACGGATCATAATGTCTTATAACCAATTGGGATCATTTCCATCTTCCTGTCTTCATCTGCCACACGTTTGAAAGAGTCAAATATGAGCATGCCAGATTTGAGTGAGCATTCCCACTGGTCACACCCTCGGAGCATAATGTGCTACTCAAATATAGGTTTTGAGTTACTAGTGGTAGCTTAACAAGCCTAGAACTGTTCTCCAGAGTGCAGGAAAAATTCTTCAAAAGGTGCTTGTAAGGTCTGCCCCAAATTATACTTCCAACCCATGCTGCTTTGTTTCATTGATGCCAGTTATGTAGCGTAACAAGCCCTAATGAGAGGGATCCAGTTCCTTGGCTTTTTATCAGCTTCTTCAGGAACCTGGGGCTGTTGTATAGGGTGACCCTTTGCCAGCAGTCTGTCAGGGTTGAGTTTGTTCCTACCAGTGGGTTTCTGCCATGCCAATGAGGGTTTGAGCTGGCTCATGGCCACCTGGTGCTTAAATCTGATAAAAAAAATTTCCCCCCTATCCATTCACTGCCCGCTAGTTCCAGCTTTACCAAGCAATGGCTGTATCTGTAAAGCCACACATGGAGAGGAGACAAGACTCAGGCATTTGGGCCAGGCAGGAGAGCTGTTTTAGGGAGCCATGAAATTAGAATTCTTAAATGAGCTGCCTCAAAGTCCTCGGGGTAGGGGGCCAGGGTGGGATTAGAGGCTTCTTAATTTCAGGTTGTAGAGTAATCAGCATTTCTGTTTTGAAATATGTCTCTTCAAGCTTTCTGTTTAGCTGAGGTTGAGGGTAGGGCAGTGAGGAAGGCTTCTGCAATGGACCAGGTTTCCATTTGTTGAAGAAATGTCCCTTATAGGCAGTTAGGCTGAGTAGTTTTCTTTCAGAGTTTAAGTTGACAGAAGTGACTGACATTTTCTACCTGCCGTGAAAGCAGCACCCTTTGTGACTCTCTTTAGCTTGATGTTTAATTCTTTCAATGGTGTTTTTGTTGTTATTATTGTTGTTTTTTCTTTCTTTTTTTGGAGGGGTGAAGATGGGAGTAATATTTATTTGAATTAGCAATCTGGAAATCCTGTTTGCTCTAGAGCTTTGATATAGTAGCTGTATGTGGCTGATTAAACTTAAATTCCAGTAGCTAACACTGGCACTAACAATAAATAAATAAAACAGAACTTCAGTTCCTCAGTCATACTAGCCACATTTCAAGTGTTTAATAGCCACCAGTGGCTAGCAGCTAGCACAGATGTGGAACATTTCCAGGACTATGTCCCTGCTGTGTAGTGTCAAAGGACCCATAGTCTGTAGACATTAAAAACTTCTGAACCGAAGCATGAAGGCTTTCTTCCTCCTGTCTTTCAGAGAGATAGTAACATGACTAAAATGTAGGCAACTGTCTCATTTAATTATGTCTCCTGACTTATGTTATAGCAACACAGGAAAGTGTTGGATAAAGGAAAACCTGAAGATGTGATGCCATCTGTCAAGGGTGCCCAGGTGAGCCAGATTTCTTTGTGAGCATTCTGAAAATGAACCAGTCCCGCCTTCTGACTTCCTGAGGCTCCCGTAATCGTATCCTCCAATCCTTTCCCTTCTCTTTTTTCTATCCGTCTGTTCCTCTATCTGTTACTGTGCTCTTTTGCCTCCAGGAGCGCCTGCCAACGGTACCCTTATCCGGCATGTACAATAAGTCTGGAGGAAAAGTGCGACTCACCTTTAAGCTGGAACAAGACCAGCTGTGGATTGGCACTAAAGGTGTGTTACTCCTGTCCTCTTCTCCTGGCTCCCTGCCTGCCTCTGGCACCTCACAGCTCTCCCTTGAGTGCTGCTCGGCTCCTCATTGCAAGACCTCTCTCTGTTCACTGTGCTTTGCGTGCTTCTGGCTTTTGAGTTTGCTTTTATTTTATTTTATTTTTTTGTCTTTTGTCTTTTTCCGTGTCCGGCAACGGATCGCAACCCTCAGTGTTGCCCCCGTACCGGACCGGGGACCGGCAACGGGATTGCAACCCTCGGCACTGCCCCCGCGCCTCGCTCAGCCAGTGAGCGGGAACCGGTCCGCATGTGGGATCCGAACCCTCAGGCGGGAGCGCTGCTGCGCTTCCCAGGCGGCGCACTATCCAGTGCGCCACCGGGCCGGCCCTGAGTTTGCTTTTAGATGTTCATCTTTTGCTTGGACACTTCGCCCTCATTCTTTTCAGTCTGATCTCAGGGCCAACCCATCAAACTTTGATCTTCAGTCGCACACAAAGTCAGAGGTCCCAAACGTGTGGCCAGAGGGCCAGGTCTGGCCCACAGACAAGGGTTCTGTGGGTTTACACATAATTTGTAAAGATCAGGAGATTTCACTTAATCTGCTTTTTTTGGCTTCTCTTGAAAAGAATCAGAAGATCTGGCCATTTGGGGCCTTCTTTCTCACATGGCATCTATTGGCTGAGCCCAGTCATAGTTTCCAGTGGGCCCTGCTGTAGTCCTTGTGATCCCATTTGTCTTATACATGGCTAGTATATTTCATTTATTTCACCTGCCTGGCCCCTATAGGTCAGAGTCTGACACCGTAGTGGGTAATGCTTTCCTGACTGCTGCCTAGGAATCTGCCCCTTCCTCCCTGCCTGGTTGCCGTCTGCCTGCCCTGCCCCCTGCCTGTGCATGGTATCTGGATCAGCCTTGCTGTTTGCTGGGAAGCGTCTCTGACTATCCTCCCTCTCCCTTCCCCAGATGGTTACAAAGTCTTGTCAGTTACACTTCAGAATTGTCCATGTCCCTTTCTTTGCCACTCTGTCGTGCCACTTAAAGCTCCTAGCTTCTTTGAACTTTATCTGTTAAAAGCAGCATAACCTATTTCCCTGCCCCACCCACCTGTGTTTTCTTCTGTCCTGTCCATCTTCTGTACTGCTTTTGTCACTGGTTCCTATGCTCAAAAACCTTTGGCTCTTTGAGGCCAAGTTCAAATGCCTACAAATAGTGTGCAGTATTCTCAGCAATGGGCCCAATTTAAAATTTTTGACCAAGCTTTTGATCTTGCCCAGTGGTTTCCTGTGTGTTTTGGCTGCGTCACTCACTGAACCTCCCAATGTGCTTTGCACAGCTCCATGTCTTTGCCCATGCTGTGCCTGGAATGCCTTCTTCCCATTCCCTGTTATTAATAAAATCTTCCAAGGCCCTACTTAAACGTCTTCTCCTAATGAAGCCTACCCTGATATCTCCCCGACCCTCCAAATGAATTGCTGCCGCTTCTGTTCATAGAGCGCCCCATTTATATCCCCAGAGCACTCATTACTTTCTGACTTGTCTGTCCCCGTTAGATTCCTGGAGGGAACCGAACATGCCTAATTCACCTGTTTCTGGCCAGCACTGTAGGTATTCAGTGTTCGAGGTAAATGCTAAAGAGAAGTATAGGGGGTCCCATCATCTGAGGTTAATTGGTTTCAGGGACAGGCCATTTAGTATGACTCCACTTAAAATAGGACCAAAGTTTTATGGAAAATAATCTGGGCAGGGTGGTGGGGAGTGAGATTTTTATCATCTGAAACACGAAAGTTAAGTTTCTTATTTTCAACCGTTTGCTGGTTCTTAAAATGAGCAAAGACCGAAATGCCGAAAATGCTTAGTTTTCTAACAATTTTATGAGAAATTGCAATATTCTTCATTTCACACTCGACTCTAACTGCATGATCAAAACAAGATTTGCAGAATATTTAAGGGTTTCCCCAGTTTTTCCAAGAGTCTTTGAACCCTTTACTAGGTCATTCTCTTCTGCAGAGCTTGGCCCAGCACCTCCTTGCCCTGCTCTGTCCACTTTGTAGGTGGTTTTGCTTAGTCCTCCATCACTACATTCACTTGCCAAAATGCAGAGACTTCCTGCCTCTCAGTAGACTTTACCTTTGCTTGTGGACAGCCTAACTGAAGGCAGTTGCTAGGTTGATCTGAGAAGACACTGCCCACAGGAGGTCTGAAAGGGGACTGAGCCTGTGAGTGCTCGTTAGTTCCTCAGGGAATATTTTCATGTCACAAAGTTGTGTGGGAAACACATCATAACCACAGAACTGAGAGAACATGAACCTCCTGTACCATGTTGGAGGTTTTATTTTAGCTTGTTGGAGCAGCCACCTACCTTGATATGTTGGGGCCCCTTGAGCAACTGAAAGCCTCCTTACTCGCCAGCTTTATTGAGGAGCATGGCTGTCTTCCAGGGTTGATTCCGACCCAGTCCACTGTACCTCAGGAGTCCAGGGGGCAGGCACTCTTCCCACTTGCCCGGGAATCCTGTCACCGGAGTGTCATAAGGACTCATAGGAGGACAGCTTGTTCTAGGAGTTGGCTACTAGCCACTGGCTTCATCTTTCTGCTGGCAAGAAGCTGCTGTGGAATGACTATCCCAGCAGCTAGCTGGCCTCTCTTGATGGAGTGCTTTGCTGAGCAAGTGACCCTCCAGGGCTGCCACTCGGCTTCTTCTCTCCCTGTGCCAGCTTGCGTAGGAGGAGGCAGTATTAGCAGCCTCAGGCACGACAGAGCGAGAAGAACAAGCTTCTTCGGGCAGGACATGTGAACAGGGGAAGCTGCCAGGACAACGCGGGTGCCCTGTTTGCAGGGGAGTTGAGTCTCTTATCTAGTTGATGGCCGTCACTCAGGAACGTGGGCCCAGGATTGTCCAATCTTTGGAGTTTTCAAGAGAAGCCAAAAATCTGTATTTTTTTTTTTTTTTTGGCAGTTGGCAAGTACAGGGATCGAACCCTTGACCGTGGTGTTATAACACTGCGCTCTAAACAACTGAGCTGATCGTCCAGCCCCCCAAATCCGTATTTTTGTGTGAAATCTTGACACTTCAAGGTGGAAGCTGTTTTAAAATTTTTCATCTTAGAGAAAACTGCTGGTCAGGTCCTGCCTATGGGCTACTGTTTTAGAACCACTGAAAGTCAAAGCCTGAGTGAACATCTCAGGTCCCCTCTCCCTGACCCGCATTTTTCAGAGAACAAGGCCCACGGAATGGAAGTAAAATACCTTAAGTCATCAGTAGACCAGACCTTTGGTCTCTAAATTCCTAGTCCATTTTGTCAACTTACCTATTTTTAGATTCTACCTTTCCAGATTTTTCTTCCTGCAAAGGCTGTAATCCAGAGGTTTTTCCCACTGAACTGTTTGCTCAGAACGTCCCCTGCACATGAAGTGTCTGTCGCTTCTGGGCGGTCACCTGCGGCTGTGCAGGTGCCCCGCACCTCCTGCCTTACACCTGGTCCTGCTGCACTTGGCTCACTCCTGCAGGCTCATCCCGCTCCAGGCATCCCCCTGCCTCCTCTTTCTCACCTGCCATCCTTAAACTTGCTGCAAAGTGTCCTCTGACTCCAGTGGTCAGTGGTATCTCAAGTGTTAATCACAGGAGGTTATAAATGTTTTAAGAGAATTTCATGAAGTGTGTGGCTGTGGAGGGGTGGGGGACCAGGGGTGGGATGGGGATGGCGTGGGAGCAGGATCTTGGTATGGAAGCTAGTGTTAAAGCCAAAGCCTTCTGCCCTCCTTGTGAGAGCCACAGGGGAATGCTGTTACCTCTCTCTTCTTGGGCCTTTTGTCTTTCCCGATCTCAGGCGCCCAAAGCCTTAGCCAATCCTGGGCTTGGGCACTAAGAGTACAAAGGAGTTTCTTGGATATTTATTAATTATCAGACTTTAAAATCACAGGGGAATGCTGTTACCTCTCTCTTCTTGGGCCTTTTGTCTTTCCCGATCTCAGGCGCCCAAAGCCTTAGCCAATCCTTGGCTTGGGCACTAAGAGTACAAAGGAGTTTCTTGGATATTTATTAATTATCAGACTTTAAAAATAATACCAGGAAAGATATGTCTCTGCCCGCGGAGACCTTTACTTTGCCAAGTTCTGTTCCCCATTTGCTCCTGAGGAGTTCCCAGCTCCCAGGCAGGGCTGTAGGTGCACTGATCAGAAGATCCTGTTTCATTGTCCCTAGAGGGCATGGCGCCAGTCACTTGAGTTTAGCATAGATCCCACAGCCCCTAGCCCTGACCAGGGACTGCTGAGTCAGAGGAGTTAGAATCGGAGGGCCTTTGAATAATCACTGTAATCCCTCTCAACTTAGAGCGGACTGAGAAATTGCCCATGGGCTCCATTAAAAATGTGGTCAGTGAACCTATCGAAGGACACGAAGACTACCACATGATGGTAAGTAGCACTGGCTGGGTGTAGCCTCTCCTAGATTCCTGCTTCTGTTGCAGCTAGCAGGGAATGGATTTTTAATTGAGCTTCTTTAATTGAAGAGAAAACTTAGTCTTCAGAAAACACACTGTTTTAAGACCCTGTGTTTTCTTTATCTGCTTAGAACTTGATCCATAACCCTATTCCTCATTCTGTTTATCTTGCAATCTCCCTACCCCTCTCCCGGCCCCATACACACCCTTCCATCAATTTAAAAGGGCCATGTTTTCTCCTGTCTCTTTTGCCCTCCCTCTTCTTTGTAACATTTTAGTTTTAGACCCAGAAAATAAATATAAAGAGGAGGAATGGCTTGTGGGTTTCGTCTTAAGTTTTGTCTTGCGTATACAAACGAAACCTCCCCCTCGCTGTGGTGTCTATGAGGATGCAGACAGCCTCCCATCCTCGATGGTCCTGCTCTTCCCAGGCTGTACCTGTTGAGTGGCCGAGGCCCCTTCAGGGAGGACAGAGTCTGTGGAGCCTCTGTTCTGCATAGAGTCTGCTCTACAGAGAGGAGGGTACTCTTTCCCAAGACATCATTTGGAGGTGTTCTGCAAGTTTGTACAGAACAAAGCAAAGAATTCAGGGATCTGAAAACATGAGCATCTTGGGCAAAGCTTCCATTTTCCTAGCACTGTTTGGCGGGGTCACTTTAAAAATGAAGTTTAGATACCTAAACTCTGCAGGTGCTATGACAGGGACCTGACCTAAGCAGCGGTGTTGTGAGGGCAGGGCCACCTGCCATTCTCCATCCTAGGAGGCAGGTTTGTCAGCATCCAGCCAATAGTGGTGTGGTTACATTGCCCCATCCCAGGGACAAGGAGCAGCTGGTGGTTTGACCTGTGGGTTCATGTTACAAAGTCCATGGCAAAGGATGTGTTTGAAGATCCCCTTACTATGGGAAATATCTAGAGATCCCCAGTGTCATCTGTCCTGCACTGTAGGTGTCAGCCGGTGGTGCTGAAGCAAGGCCATAGCTGGTATTGCAGTCCTGGGCTTCAGGGATCCTGGGGTTTTCACCCCCGGGACCAGAGACAGCATCACTGGGGCTCATTGGCAGCCCTTCCTTTCCTAGTCTCTCTCTAGTCTTTTATTCTTCTTTTTAAAAAATTTTTGTGGCTGGCGTGTAAGGGGTTCCAAAACCTTGACCTTGGTGTTATAACACCGTGCAGTAACCAAGTGAGCAACCAGCCAGCCCTCTCTGTAGTCTTTAAAACAAGGATTGCAGGCAGATTTATTTTGTCTGCTCAGTTATTTTATTTTTATTTGTTAGCAATTAAATTTTAATTCATTTAATTGTGCCCCTTCACCCGTTTTTGAAACATTTATGTTACCCATAGGGTTTGCAGCCCCAGTTTTTGAGCAGCCTTGTGATAGGGGTTACAGACAAGTTGAGTGGACCATTTTGGACATCTTTTAAGGAACTAGCATGAGTGGGTTGTGACTCAGTATTTAACTTAAATGCTCATTCCTCCCTAGGGTTATATCTGGCAAAGGGTAGTCCTGATAGCCCCCACTTCTCTTTTCTAAACACCATTAAGTAGTACCTTGACCTTTGTCTTAATGAAAGTATTTACTTCCCTCTTTTTGCAGATGTATTTTTTCTAGCTAATGTGTCATAGTTCACAATTAGAAAAGTGTGGCTATACTTTTTCATTTTTAGAGCAATATTTTTTTAAAAATTCAGAAAAAGAATACTATAACAAACCCATATATCCATCACCGAGAAATGACCATTGTAAATATTTTGTAACTTGCTCTAAATCTTTTTCCAAATAAAAAAATAAAATTTACCAACAGCGGTGACGTCCCATTGTCTTCCCCTCCCCCTATGGCCATTGTTGTGCTGTGTTCTGTGTGTCCTTCCATCCACCTATGTCTTTATTTACATTCATGTCCATGAACAAGATTGGGTATTGTTTTGTGTTTTTTAAGTTTGCCTAAATGGTATCATGGTATGTATTGTTCTGCAACTCGCCCTTTTTTTGGTTCGACATTATGGTCTGTCAGTATTAACTACAGATCCATGTGGATCCATTTCATACTTTCTTAAAGGTACTTCATTATTCGTGTGAATAGGCCACATCACCTTTTAGCTATGCGTTCCCTTACTGGCGGATGTGCAGGTTGTTGCCAGGTTTTTATCATCTCAGACAGTGCTGCTTTGAACCTTCATGCCTGTTTTTTGTGCATGCGTGGCAGGTCTCCTAGGGCAGTGGTTCTCAAACTGTTCTCAGGATCAGCAGTGTTGCATCACCTGGGAGCTCCTTAGAAGTTTCTCAGGCCCCACCCCTAAGCACATCTAAGGGGTGGGGCCTGCTGACCTGTGTTTCAACAAGCCCTCCGTGGTTCTGATGCTCAGATGGTCGCTCAAGTTTGAGAACCACTACTTTAAGTTTGGCTATGCTGCACTCCGCCTTTTTTTTTTTTTTCTGGCTTGTTAGGAGAATGCTCCCGGTGTGCACAGTTTTTTTCTGTTTTTCTTTCCATTTTAGTCAGTTCACTTCCCAAGACGTCTCCATTTGTGTCATTCTGCCTGCTTGGTCTCCCAACCTCTCAAGTTCCACTTGGTTTTCCTTTTTCCCTTCCAGGCGTTTCAGTTGGGCCCCACAGAAGCCTCTTACTACTGGGTGTACTGGGTTCCAACTCAATATGTGGATGCAATCAAAGACACTGTGCTGGGGAAATGGCAGTATTTTTGAAAGCACTTTCACCTCTGGCCCAGGAGACTGACCCAAAGTGAAGGACATTGCCGGGAGAGGCCTGCAGCATCCCTGGATTTCAGAGTTCTGGAACTTTGTTAAAAAAAAAAAAATCTATATTCAATCTAAGGCGATGTGGTGACTGAAGCCAGAGGTGATGTACTTTCACCATTAGCTTAATTTTAACTTAAAATCACCGGTTCCCTTTCTTGCAGTCAGCTTCATACCATTTTTAAAGTCATTACAGTGGAAATCAATAAATCTGAGTTCCGAACATCTTGTGTGGAATACTCTTAAGTGTGTTTGAGAGTAGATCTGCCAATTATGTTGAGAAAAGAATAATCAAAAGCTTTCTGCTGTTTTTGTTTTTAAGTGATTTCAACAAATATTTTCATAAATCTTTGGTTGCAAACATTTGGACTGCATTGTGATGAGATGGGGTGTTTTTTTTTTCCTTCTTCGTATGAAATTGCAAAATGAGGGGGTTAGTAAGCCATATTTTTCTGTCCATTGATTCAGATTTAATTCTTTCCCTTTTTTATTTTCTTACTTACTAGATTGGAGTTTTTGTTTTAAAAACCCAAAGATGTCAGTTCCTCTTTTTGTACCTCATCAATGCCTCCTTGCTGGGCTCCCTCCCCCCGTGCTGCTGCTCCTTGTGAATGCACAGGGGAGGGGGGAGCTGTGGGGCTTGGTCAGGGAGCTCCCACACTGGCTGTGGTGTTCATTGAGCAGCAGAGTATCTCACAGTGACGCCTATCTAAACATCTTGCCCTTTGGGCCCTGATCTCCAGGGAGTTCCATTGCTGGTTTGAAGGTTGTCTGCAACCCTCACTGAGCTTGGCTTTGAGGCCCGGCCTGGCACACGTGTGCCTGGGCTGTGCTACTCAAAAGCCCCAACTGCCAGGCAGACAAAGACCTCTTCAAAAAGGAGCCAGGTAGAAGATAGTTTCTACAGCCATAAAGCTACAGATACACATATCTTCTTTCTTTGGAAGTTTTGAAGAAATTCTTAAGCAGTCCGATGATTAATTGCAATTATGCTTCTCCATTCGGTCCTTCTACTCATGCATTAAGTTCAAGTGTCCTTTATCCCAGGTTCAGAGATGCCACCTTTGTCAGTAAGAAGACATCTGAGCTAGTGTGTTGTCTGGTGTTATTTGAACAACAAAAATGGGATAAATTGCTTTCATGATTAGCTCACCCTCTTCTGGTTTTAGTCTTCATGTTCTTTGTACACATGAGATTCTTTCGTCTCCTTCTGGCTTGACTGACTCTGAAATGAGGGAAAGTCTCTTGGTGAGTGATACCCTCTGTGCTGTTTGCTGTCTCTGCTGCCATCTTTGCAGTTCTCCTCTCACTGGTTGTAGGCTCTCGTAAGGTTTGGTGAGAAATTTTCCAGACTTCATATTTTGGATTCTAGGCTGTTACCCTTCATTCTGTGAAATGTATTAGCATGTGTGCGCCTCAGATGACTATTCCTTGTGAGCCAGTGGATGATATTCTCCGCCCATTCCTTCTAAGCTGTAGTTCAGGAATCCAGCCCACACAGACAGACTTTTGCTTTTCGTGGTGTAGTCAATGCCAAGTTACACATCTGGGCAGGAAAATCTACTCTTTGCTTTTTGGGGGGCATTAGTGCATATGTGAAGTGCAGCATCCATGAAACTGCCTGTTTTTCATCCCTTGAGAAAGGAGCGGTCCTTGCAGCTTTTCTGTCCTGGTGGCCTATAATTCCTGGGAACAGGAGTGGTGCTCTGCTGCCCTTCCAAGCCTCCCTCTGCGGTTGACAGGTCTACAGAGGAAATGATCATGTAGCAAGTAGTGTCATCTCGGTTTATATACTGCTCCTTTGTTTGCCAGCATCCACATCCTGGAGACTTGTCCTGACAGTGCCACACACCCACTTGGATCTCTCAAAGCAGGCGTCTCTGTCGCCAGACTGTCCTTGCTCGAAGTGCTGCTCTCCGAGGCCCCTTCTGCCAGCTCCCCGCGACATGCCTTCCTCCCAGTGAGAGTGTATGTTCCATCGTCCCCTGCTCCCCAAGGGCCAAACTGCTTCTCACTCAGGCTGGTGTCATTTCAAGAGGACCAAAGCCTGCGTGAGCCTTTTCATTTTAAGTAAAATGGTGCTTTTTTCCTTACTTGGAGATCCTATAAATAAATAATAATGTAAATGACACCTTTTTGTACGGAGCTGTTTGAGTATTGCTTTGCAGAGCTCACTAAATCCACTACAACAGTCTTGAGCTCTGGTTCCTGACCCTGTCTGCATGGAAGACCTTGCTGGAAGCTCTCAGGAGAGCAGAGGTAGACAGCACCAGAAGCCGCTGAGAAGTGTTTTAGATCTGTGTCTGGGTCATAGCAGTATTCACTGTTTTGTCACTCAGTCCCATGAGCAGTCTCTTCGTATATCTCACAGTTTGGAGTATACTGACTAAGTCTGTGTAAACAAATTGAAATACTCTTGCTCTTAGGTGTCAGTGCAGTGTTTTATTTTTTTCCTCGGGATTATGCTGTCCAATTCCGTCACTGTCAGAGAGGACCGGGTTTTTTCCCTCACTGCAGATGGAGGGCATGCAGGTGAAGGGAGGAGGAGCTGGTTCCTGGAGAGGGCCCTTAGCAGCACTCACCTGGAGGTGGAGGGAGGGCCTGGCCCCTGCGAGGGCTGGACACCTTTCAGCCTGCTGATGCACTGCTTTCTCTTGTAGAATTGGTACTGACGGTCCTCTGGCAGGTCTTCACTCACAGACATCATGCCTTTCTTTCCTCCCTGTAGCAACTTGGCTGAATATTGTAACAAGATAATCCCTGCTGAACCCAGTCCCCCTCAGCTCTGTTTCGGTCGGTCAAATCAGAGAACTTAGACTCAGGAGTTGCTAGAACTCTTCAGTATTAAGTGTTTTAATCCAGGATGGGCCTTCTGCAAGTAGAGTTAGCTCTTTTTAAATGAAGTTCAACTGAGCTAAGGATGCACTTTCTTCTAATCTTGTGGACACAGGAGGGACACCCAGGTGAGGCCCTCAGTAGGCTCTGTAGTTGCTGCTTTATCTTATGAGGGCCAAAGTGATTAACTTTGCCGCATTGCCACATCTCAGAAAAGTTGCCATACTTCACCCAGAAGGGGCTTGTTTTCCTCTTACTCTTACTTTAACCATGTGCCTAGAGGAGCCGCTCTGGGCTCTTGCACTTGGCCCACCCTTTCTTTGCCAGGGGCGGGGAAGGGGATAGACTCAGCGTGCCAAGGGCCATGCAAGGGCAGGCTTGCTTTCCACCCATCTGCTGAGGGAGACCACTTTCCCTCGCTCCTTGTCTCTCTTCCTGCCTCTGGTCTTGGAAAAGGGTGGTCCCTTTGTCTTAAAGCTTTGTGATAAAGTCATCTCCAGTTAGGATTGGCACCTGTTTCCTTCTTAGTAGGGTCTAGCAGCCTTTCTGAAGTTACAGGTGATCAGGAGCCCCTGATGTGCAGAACATCTGGTAGATTTAACTGCCAGGTTGGGTGGTTCTACTGCTTTCTAAATTTCTAAGAACCTCTTTCTTTTTCTTTCTTAAAGAGTTCTGCAGAGTTACTTAACAATATGTGTGAGTACCTTGTTTCCTTGTGGTGTACACTTTGTTCTGGTTTCTGTTTTTTAAATCAAATGCCTGTTTGGGAGGAGATGAACGTATTTAGTCTATTAGATCTGCGCTGCTGGATTTTTTTTAAAGTGTAACCTTGACTAGCTGTCTGTTTATCCTGTAAGATTAGTCTATCAATTAAAGTTTGATAATTAATTGCGTCTCTTTTTCCTTCCAATTCTTCATGCGCCTGATCCATACTGGGGATTGACCAACATTTGGAACTGGGCCCAAAGCCATCTTTCTGCCAGCTGTGGTCTTATTTATTTGGCTTTAAGTATATCCAAATTTATTGTCTACTGAAAACTGCTGGTAAAGGGATATGATTTGATTTACTCTGTCGAAGTCAAAGTGACCAACCTGACAGTTAGCCATGCTCCTACTAGGGCAGTCCATCTTTGTCTCTTCTGGTCTCCCTGACCTTATGCCTCCTATCAGGTGCCTCATGTAACCTCACCTTGCCATTTAGCCTTCAAGCACATGTTTAACAAAACACTGAGAATGGAGCAACAGCGATAGCCACAAGCTCCAAAGACCCAAGAGGAGTGAGGGAGAAAATCTATTACCAAAAATGGGACAAAAACAGAATCCTTGCTATGAAGAGTTTGTCAGACCTGCCTTTGACCCAGCAGCACTCGCATTACATCCTTTCTCCTCTTCCCCTTACTTTGTAAATGTTCCTGAAGGTTCTGGTCTCACTTCCCCTTCCTGGCAAGGGGAAGGGTCAGCTCCTTTTTCCATTTTTCCAGTACCTCAATCCTAAAGCAACGCTGCTAGATTCTTAAGGATATATTTATTTGGGAGAGGAATAGGGTGGGATTGTGCCATGTGCTGGACATTGGCTGATGCCCACCTAGAGAATCTTGTGTCTGCATAGAGAGAATTTCTGGATTTCATCCCAATTCTGAACGGTTATTTTAGGTACCTTAAAACTATAAGACGATTGTTTCTCCTCAGATGGAGAATGAGAACAAACCTGTCTGGGTATCTTACTGAGAAATGTAGGAAAAACCAAAGTGTTTTTCCTGTTCTGTACTCAACAATTGACACACAATATGAGGGCACTTCAAAAAGTTCATAGAGGGCCGAGCCTGTGGCGCACTCGGGAGAGTGCGGCGCTGGGAGCGCAGCAGCACTCCCGCCGCGGGTTCAGATCCTATATAGGGATGGCCCCGCGGTGCAGCTGTTCACAAAAAAAAAAAAAAAAAAAGTTCATAGATTCATTTTTTTTTTTAAATTATATTTTTCCATGAACTTTTTAAGTACCCTTGTACTTCTCTGGTCATCGAGAAATGTATGGGGATTTCTCCCCACCAGCACTCAGTTCTGCAGCAGGCACCAGATTGGTACCATGTAATTCAGCTCAATTCTGACACTATCTCAGCCCACAGGTTGAGCACTCAGTCTGCCCCTCACTTAATGATACCAGTTGCAGGACCCAGATTGTGACCGGTGCTTCTGACCAACCAGCTGTAAATTGCAGCCATTTCTTTCTTTTTTTTTTTTTTTTTTTTTTTTTTTTTTTTTTTTTTTTTTTTTTTTTGGCAGCTGGCCAGTATGGGGATTCGAAGCCTTAGATCTTGGTGTTATAACACCACACTCTAACCAACTGAGCTAACCAACCAGCCCTCAGCTGTACATGGGGGTTCCCACAACCCCCTTCTTAGGTTTGACTAATTTGCTAGAGCATCTCAGGGAAACAATTATATTTACTGACTTATTGTAAAGGATGTTACAAAGGACACAGATGAAGAGATGCACAGGGCGAGGAGTGGGGGAAGGGACACAGAGCTGCCTGCCCTCCCCAGCTCACCACCCTCCATGGACCTCCCCAGGTTCCTCTACCTGGAAGCTCCCTTAACCCAGTCCTTTTGAGTTTTTATGGAAGTTTCATCATATAAGCAGGATTGAGTGAATCCTGGGCCATTGAAGACCAACTCAACCTTCAGTCCCTCTCACCTCCCTGGAGGTTGGGGACTGGGGCTAAAAGTCTCAACCCTCTAGTCCTGCCCTGGTCTTGCCTGTGACCAGTCCTCATCCTGAAGCTACGTAGGGGTTGCCAACCACCAGTCAAATTATTAGCACACAAAGGACACTCTTCCCACTCCGGAGATCTCAAGAACTGTGTGCTTGGGACAAAGACCAAATAATGTATTTCATGATATCACTCTTACCAGTACCTATTGGGAAGATGTCTGGTATTTTCTCTTCTGTAGGTAACAATCCTTTCTACAACAGAAACCTCATAAACCAGACAGTCATTAGGGCAAGGGGCAACAACTTTTGCTCTTGCCTGAGAGTTCTGCTTGGCCCAACTGTGCTGTAGGGCATCATGACGCTTCCTGCCCAGGCGACCTGTGCCAGCACCACATGGTTGCTTTCAGCCCCGATTCTGTCGCCTCTGGCTTTACCTAGTTCATTGAGGCTGTTTTTGTTTTGAAGCTTTATTCACCTCTCTTATTCTCGTGATAAACCTTTACTGTTCACCCTATTTTATAACTTCTAATTTTCAAGTTTCTATTTTTACCTTTCATTCTTATCTACTTTTAAATACTTCGCTGTTTTCTCTTTTTTGTTTTGAAATTTTTCAAACCTACAGGAAGTTGAAATATACTACAGTGAACATCCTTATACCTTTCACTTAGGTTTACCAGTTGTTAAAATATTAACCACATTTTCTCTCTCTAGATACACATATACTTTATTTTGCTGTAACATTTGACAGATGCAGATATTGTGACACGTTACCTGTGGATACTTAATCATATATCTCCTGAAAATAAAGACATTGTTATATCTCACCTAAGAAAATTAATATCAATTCAGTAATATTATCTAACACAGAGAACAAAATATCTTTTAGAACTATTTTTTCCCAATCAATAATACTTATGTTTTTAAATCCTTAGATAGTCTTTTATTTTTAAAATACGCTTTTTTTTTTTTTTGTCTTTTTCGTGACTGGTAAGGGGATCGCAACCCTTGGTGTGGTGTCGCCCGCATGGCGCTCAGCCAGTGAGCGCACTGGCCATTCCTATTATAGGATCCGAACCCACGGCAGGAGTGTCGCTGCGCTTCCAGTGCCACACTCTCCCGAGTGCACCATGGGGTCGGCCCTTAAAATACCCTTTTAACTTTTCTATTGTTGCTAGTATTGGCTTTTCTCTCCCCCTATATATTTTTCATCTTACTTTTCATTTGTGACCTCTCATCTCTTTCTCATCATGAGTTCTGCACTGTTTCATGTCATGGATTTCTCATGGCTTGGGAGCTGTGGTTCTGGAAGAGGCATGTCAGGGAACTGGCCCCAAAGGGCAGAGCCCTCTCGTCCACTCATGTTCTGGCTCCCCTACCACATCCAAGTCTAAGATTTACAGACTGCAGGGGTTCACAACTCAGGACTGTTGCGGTTCTTGGTGACAAACCCAGTTTACATGATTTAGGCAAAGGGAGTTCCAGCTCATGTGACTGGAAAATCAAGTGTCAGACCTAGCCGAATGCAGGTGCCCAAGTCAGGGACACCTGACAATCTAACTCCTGGCTCTAATCTATTCTCTGTTGATTTAGAGTCTACCAGACTAGCAATCCCATGAGAAAGAGATTTTTTCCCCCCCCAAGAATTCTATTAAAAGTACCAGGTAAGGCTTTTATTGGCTTGTCGCCCCTGCCCTCCACAAACACGAACATGATAATCATCAGAATCTAAGACATGCACTGGTTTTTACTTCCATTCATCGTGAGTCTGTGACTTTCAGACAAATACTCCATACTATAGAGCAGCTTTGTCAGATCACCTAGCAGGCTTTAGGACCTCTGGGGTTCCAGCCTGGGGGTGAAGAATGGGCACCTCTTCTGGGCGCTCAGTCCACAAGCGACTTACCCTAAATGCTTTGCATTCAAGTCTTGTAACATCAGCCCCTTCATTGAATCTTACCATGTGCCAGGTACTGTGCCAAATTATGTTATGTGCATTATATTGTCAACACCACCACATCCATCTCGTTAACCCCCACTTTAGCCATTAGAGGAATCTTAGGCTCAGAGAAGTTATGTTACTGAGCCAGTATCACATGCCTGTCAGTAATTGAGTTATGAACCCAGATTTGCCTGATGCTAAAGTCTGATACTTGCTTGGTTGTTGAGAACTTGGGAAAGAATTTAGCTACTGTATTTTGCCTTCAATTTTAGTTGCTTTTGCTGTATGTCTTAAGAGTACTAACTTGTGACTGTGAGTTGTTTCTTTAAATTTTGATCCTTGGATTTTATTAGTTGCCTTTATTAACTTTATCAATAAAGATAATTTGTTAATTACATTTGTTTAATTGGCTTTATTAATTTTTGATTAGCTACCATTTAAAAAAACTTAAACAGATGTACTTGATAAATTTCAAGCGATAGGCAGGTCTCTCACTAAATTCTCCTAGCTTCTCAACCCCACCTCTGGCCAATCCACTAGGAAAGTAGAATTCATGTTAGGCTTAAGCACAGAAGGGTCCATCCCAGAAGCAGAGGGTCAATCATTCCCACTTAAGTCACTTATTGGAGTGATGAGGGGGCTTGTCAATGGGAACTTAGCAGAAGGAGGGGACCGGGACTGGAGAAGCACCCGGCAATCACTCAGACTTCAAGCCCCGCGGCTCCAACCTGACATTTTCCTTGAGCTCTTGCTCATCTGTTGCCTGCTTGGGTGTCCCACAAACAACTCAAATTCAACATGTCCCAAATTGAAGTTATATCTGATCCTCCTCTATTCCCTATTTTAGACAGCAACTCACTCAGTCCCAGTAGGCCAAGCCATAAACGTGGGAGATAGTCTAGACTCATTTCCTCCATCTCATCAAGTTCTGCCATTTTGTTGTATTTTGGTGGCTGGCCAGTAGGAGCATCCAAACTCTTTCTTGGCCTTGGTGTTATAAAACTGCTCTAACCAACTGAGCTAACCAGCCAGCCCAAGTTCTGCCATTTTTATTCCCAGAATCTCTTTTCAGGGCCGGCCTGGTGGCGCACTGTTACAGTGTGCCACTTGGGAGTGCAGCGGCGCTCCCGCCGAGGGTTCGGATCCCACGTACAGACCGGTTCCCGCTCACTGGCTGAGCGAGGTGTGGGCGCGGCACCGAGGGTTGCGATCCCGTTGCCGGTCCCGGTCCGGTATGGGCGCGACACTGAGGGTTGCGATCCGTTGCCGGACACGAAAAAAGACAAAAAGGAAAAAAAAAAGAATCTCTTTTCAGTCAAACTCTGTTTATCCCAACCTCCAAATCTTCATGTTTCTCATGGGCTCTACCAGTAACGACCACGTTCATCTCCTTCAGTCCACCCTTTGTGTAGCCACCAGCTGTTCATCTCAAATGCTACATCTGACTCTCTCCTCTTTAGCAAATCCTGTAGTGGCGCCTACTGCTGACAGGTTTTTTACCCACACTGCAAGGTTCTTCGTTGTTGCCTGCCCAGCCACATCTTTTACCACAGGCAAGCCTACCCAACTAGTTCATGCTCGAATACTCCAAACTGAACAAGCTGACATCCCACCTCAGAGACTTGCACATACTGCTGCTCCTGCCCCTGACCCATGTCTCTCTCCTACTGTTTCCACGTGGCTAACCCAGAAATTCTGCTTGGACTTCACTGCCCATTAGATCCTATCCCAACATAAGCTCCTCAGCTTCTGCTGGTCTGCTGCCACAGTTTCCACGTACTTTTAATATTTCATTCTTCATTTATTACACATTTGTAATTTAGAAAATACCGATTAGCAAAAATAAACCGTATGTATCTTTACTATATCTTGGTAATGATCATTAACATTTTGGTGTGTTTTGGGCCAGCCTGTGGCTCACTTGGGTGAGCGTGGTGCTGACAACACCAAGTTAAGGGTTAAGATCCCCTTACCAGTCATCTTTAAAAAAGAAATAAAAAATTTTGGTGTGTTTTATAGAAATGGAATTTTGCTATTTACTTTCACTTAAAACACCAATCTTTCCATGTCATTATATAAAATAGTTTCTATTCAACCTATCCCATATTGTTGGAATTTTTATGTCATCAGTATACTTTGTTACACATATCATGTTGAATTTTCTCCCAACTTTTTCCCCCAGATATATCAAATAGTAAATCTCTTCATGATTTCTCCCAACTTTTTATTTTCATAAATTTTAGACAGTTGGAGGAATAGTACCGTAAACATGCATAAATACATCACCCAGTCACCAGTTGTTAACATTTTGCTACTTTTTTTGAACCATTTGAAAGTCAGCTGTAGATGTTTAGCTCCTAAATATTAACTATGTATCTCTGGAGAATGAGGTTATTCTAACCATTGCATATAATATTACCATTATACCTAAGAAACTTAACATTCATTGACTTAACACCTATATACAGTTCAATTGTCCCAAAAATGTCTTTTTTCCCCCCCAATCCTTTCCAGCTTCACATTTCCTATGAAGTTATATCTCTTTGGTCTCCCTTAATTTAGAAGTTAACCTGTTCTTTTTTCCCCATGACATTTTTCTTTTTTCTTTTCAAGTCCAGGCCTTATAGAATGTCTCACCTTCTGGATTTGTTTCCTCATGATCAGATTCAGGTTAAGGAATTTTAGCAAGAATACTCAGAAGTGACATGTCTTCCCTGGTGCGTCACATGAGAAGCAGCACAAGAGGTTGGCTTGTTGTGTTAATGGTGATGCCGAGTGTGATGTTGTCAAGTGGGTTTTAACTTTCCCCCTCACTCAGTGGTGAGCTCCTTGAGTGTGGAGAAATACTATTTGGGTACTCAGGCCCCGGCAGAGTGCTCGGCATGCAGTGGGTACTTCACTGAGTGTAAGAGTGCACTTGCTGTTTGGGGGACATTGAGAAGTGGCTGAATTGGAGATACAGGGTGAGAATGGCAGGAGACAGGGCTGGGACCAGGTCATAACAGGCCTCACAAGCCACCCTCATACAAAGGGAATTGCCTACAACAGACCCACAGATCCTCAGAAGTATTTGTGGGAGGCCACTGAAACTAATGCATCCAATTCTATTTATTCTTGTTTCTAATTCACACACACTTCTGAATAATGCATTTGGCCAGTTTGCTCCCTACCAACAGTGGCACAGAAGCCTCTCAAAGAACATTCCACCAAGTTCTTAGAGCAGAAAGGCTTTTGCTGTTGTTTGAACACTCAGATCCCAAATGGCATTATCAATGAATCAGCTGTACTGTGTGGTCTAGTGAGATTTTTCCCTCATTCTGGCTCCTTCAGTACTTAAAATAGCTAAAGAGTGATGCCAGAGGGCTACTTCACTGCAAGTGTATATCCATATATATTTTTTTCTTTTCTTTTCTTTTTTTTTTTTTTTTGTGACCGGTAAGGGGATTGCAACCCTTGGCTTGGTGTCACCTGCACCACGCTCAGCCAGTGAGCGCTGTGAGCACACCGGCCATCCATCCCTACATAGGATCTGAACCTGCGGCAGGAGCACCACTGCACTCCCAGCGCCGCACTCTCCTGAGTGAGCCACGGGGTCGGCCCACTGCAAGTGTATATTAGTGAAGCAGTGACTTTAGTGGCAGTACTGCTAGACTTTGTGATTTTAGGCAGAAACAACCGCAGATGTATTTTTTGGCAAAATGTGTAGCTGCCATGAGAGTTAAAACAGCCAGAACAGTGACTTGGGGAATATCACCAAAATACTCCAGATGTTAAACTCTGGTACATTCCAAAGGAATCACATGCGCTCTGTTTGGTTCCCTATTGGCTCCCTAGTGCCTAATAAGTACTCAAGCTATTTGTTGAATCAATTTGGCAGTTTTCCAAGATACCTTGTTAAGTATTAAAAAAAAAAAAAAAAACAACAGCATAACAATGAATGCTTCCTATTACTGAAAAGGAGGGAATATGTCTGCCAGATATTCCTGGAATAACTCCAAAGCGACACAGGACCTGGCAACATTGGGGACCTCCAGGTATGAGTGTCAACCCCAGAGCCGACTCATGTCCTCCCACCACCTCAACCCTCAGCCATGCGATTATCTGCTGGCTAAATCCCTCCACCTCAGTGATGCTACTTACTTATACTGCAGGTCCTTGGTTCCCCTCCCTCCTACAAACTAGAAGTTTCAGTAAAAGAAGAGCAATTATTTTCTGACATGACTCAACCTCATCCACAGCTACACGTACATACGTGTTGTCTACATCAATCCCAAGGAACTCACACAGTGCTAAGAATAAAAGGGGTGGAAATCAATACTTATTGATGTGACAAAGGGACACAATTCAAATTTACCTTCCAGGAGGAAAGATAGTCCCCATCGCCCAAGATTACTAAATTCTTTTGTGAGTCTCTTTTTTTTTTGGCGGCTGGCTGTACAGGGATCTGAAGCTGTGACCTTGAGGTTATAAGGCTGTGTTCTAGCCAACTGAGCTAACTAGCTGGCCCAGATTCTTTTAATTTGGAAAGGGATCCTCGGGACAGGGATGGAAAATTAATTTCACATGCTAATGTCAGCTAATACATCTGATAATCAATAAACTAATAAAAGCAACAGATTTTTTGAAGCAAAAAGTCCTTTTATCATGAATACATTCATTTCTGTAGAGGATATTGACTAAGAAGTTATTAATGAGACAGAAATAAAATACATGTATTTCACAGGACTTTGGCCAAAGCCTGTAGTTTAGAAGACCAAAGTTCTATAGTTTAGAAGGCCAAAGCCTCTAGGTTAGGGGGCTAAAGCCCAACCCTTTAGGAAAACACATACAAATGCCAAGATTAAGAAAGACCAGAAAACTATCACAGGACTAAAGCCTTTGATGTAGATAAGAGAATTGAAGCACAGTGAAAAGTGACTGCTCTGGGAACAGTTGCCCTTGCTGCAGCTAAACCTAAATGCTGGGAAAGTATGTGAGCTAACCTTCAAGGATATTCTGCTAGTTAGTGCTTGGGGGATGTTCCACTTCTTGCCCTAAGTTTCTTCACGAGTTAAGTGCTTTGGTGATTATCTCATTGTTTCATTTGTACGTCACATAGCTTAGTTTTATGACTCCTTTTGATGGTAAATTGCTTAAACTATTTTAAACTACACCTGCTTTAATAAAGATTGTCTAGCCAGTTTGTTTATGTTTTCACTACAATTGATTTAACCACCTGTTTTTCTTCTGTAACTTTGTCTTTACAATAAAAACTGAAGCAAAAACTGACTCAGGGCTGTGCCTGGGCCCTCCTCTCTTGAAGTTTTCCCTTGGTGCAGTACCTTAGGGCTTCTCATTTCTCTGAATACATGGGCTCTGAGTAATCTTGCATCTCCATCACTCTGTAAGAGGTGACACATTCCTTACACTGAAGGCAGGGAAGAGAAACTTAGTTCAAGTACACTGCTGGGAAAGCCATTATTTTTTTTTTTCCTTTTTGTCTTTTTTTTTTCGTGTCCGGCAACGGATCGCAACCCTCAGTGTCGCGCCCATACCGGACCGGGACCGGCAACGGGATCACAACCCTCGGTGTTGCTCCCACACCTCGCTCAGCCAGTGAGCGGGAACCGGTCTGTATGTGAGATCCGAACCCTCGGCGGGAGCGCCACCGTGCTCCCAAGCGGCGCATTGTAGCAGTGCGCCACCGGGCCGGCCCAAAAGCCATTATTTTTGACACGCATGAGTACCAATGATAAATCAGACAAATCTAAAAATATTAAGCAATGTCAATATAAAAAGGCACATTGTACATATCATCAAAAAACTGAAGACTGAGGAAAGTGTTGGTTTTACAGATTTATTTTCAATGGGCAAAACACTTAGACAACTTAAATACAAATCCAACAGAATTACTCTGCCAAAGCCAGCAATAATGCCAAGATGCATTCTCACTTGCAGACACTCGTCAGCATCACCTGAGTCTTCTCTCAGTGAAGAAAAGGGTCTAGCAAAGACAAAATAAGTTCAGTGTTTCTTTTTGGCATTCTGTTACTGACTCTAAATGACATTTTTAAAGTGCTAAATCTAGGGTAACTAAAAGTTATAAACACTAATATAATGTTTTAATTTAAAAGTATTATTATTCGATTATTCTAGAGCCTAACTAACAATAGCTAGTATTTACTGAGAAGCTTCTTTACTTCAGGCATTATGTTAAGCAATGTACACACACTAGTCAATTTCACATTCACAAAAGCCCCAGGTAGGTCCTATCATTATTCCCATTTTACACATAAGGAAACTGAGGCCTACAGAGCTACACAGCCTGCCTGAGATCACCAGACTTACAGAATGTGGCAGAGCAGAGAATAAACTTTTGGGGGCCTGTGAAGGTTAATTCTAGGTGTCAACTTGATTAGGTTAAGGAATGCCGAGAAATCTGGTAAAGTTGTATCTTTTCAGGTGTGTTCATGAGGGTGTTTCCAGCAGAGATTAGCATGAGAGCTTGAGTGGACTGGGTGGGAAAGACCCGCCCTCAATGTGGGCAGGAACCATTCAATCTGCTGGGGGCCCAGAGAGAAAAAGAGAAAAAAGGTGAATCTCTCTTTCTATCCACTGGAGCTGGGATATACTCCTCTCTCCTGTCTGTGGACATCGGTGCTTGAGATTCTTCAGCTTTTGGGTTCCAGGACTCACACCAAGGACACCATCAGCTTCCCTGGTTTTGAGGCCTTAAGACTTGGACTGAGCCAAGCTACAGACATCTAGTTTGCAGACAGCCTATTGTGGGACTTTTCTTCACAATCACGACTTACACAAAGGACACCATCAGCTTCCCTGGTTTTGAGGCCTTCAGACTTGGGCTGAGCCATGCTACTGGCATTCAGTTTGCAGAAGGGCCGGCCCGTGGCTCACTCGGGAGAGTGCGGTGCTGATAACACCAAGGCCCCGGGTTCGGATCCCACATAGGGATGGCCGGTTCGCTCACTGGCTGAGCATGGTGCTGACAGTTTGCAGAAAGCCTATCCTGGGACTTTTCTTCATAATCATGTGAGCTAATTCCCCTAATAAATCCCCTCTCATGTATTTATAACATATCCTATTGATTCTGTCTCTCTGGAGAACCATGACTAATATAGGGTCTCTGACTACAGAGTCCTTCCAGGTCATCTCAGATTCCCGGACAGCAGCTGGGCTTGCCTTAGGTAGGTAACTGACAGAGTCAGAGGTCTGTTTCTGGGTTATCCTGCTCAGTAATTTGTACAAGACTGCTTTCACAAGGAGGGCTGACAATGCAGTAATAACTGCTCTCAACCTCTCTCAAGGATAAAAATCATCACTGGGCTGGCCTCCTCTGAGTGGCAGATAACTGGGAGGGGCTTGCATTTTATAACTAGGGAAAATCTGTCAAGCATTTCCAAATCTTTTCACTTCTTGAGTCTTGCTGTAATTGAAGAACCACAGATTAATTCTATGGGAGAGCATCATTTTACAAGTCCACTTATTTACCTGATATTTTATTCATATACATCCTTCTTATCTGCAATGTAATCTACAATTTCTTGTGGGCACATTAACTTTTCCGCATCTATGTCAGGAATTTCAAACCCTAAAAAAAAATTTACAACGTGTAAGGGTAGAAAAAGCAAATCCTTTAGAACCGAAAGCGCCTAACCCTTTGGTAACACCTACAAGTATACAAAAAATTTCCAGCAACCCTTAATCCCATTTAGGTTGTGAGCCAGTTAGGTTCCAAACAAAATGTAAATAGCATGTTGGCTATATTGGTTGTGGGTTTTTTAAAGATATAATTTGCATAATACAAAATCCTCCTTTTAAAGTATATAATTCAGTGGTTTTTAGTATATTCACAAGGTTGTGCAACTGCACTATCACTATTACCTAATCCTGGAACATTTTTATCATCCCCAAAAGAATCTCAGTGCTGGTTAGCAATCACTCCTCACAGTCCCCACCCTGGCAACCACCAATCTATGTTCTGTCTCTATTGATTTGCCTCTTCTTGACAGTTCATATAAATGGAATCATACAATATGTGGCCTTTTGTGTCTGGCTTCTTTCACTTAGCATATTCTCAAGGTTTGTCCATGTTGTAACATGTATCATACTTCATTCCTATTTATGAATGGTTGGGTTTTGATACTTAACATTTACTGAGTGCTTACTTTGGGCCAAACACTGCTGAGCACTTTACACATAACTTCTCTTTAATTCTCACAGCAGTCTCAATCCCAAAGTTCCTACTATTATCACCCCCATTTTATAGCTGAGGAAATAGGCTGTGAGAGATGCACTTACTTGTCCAGGCTTGTACATGTCTAAGCCTAATTCCAGACCTGGTAGTCTTGACCATTAAGCAAATGATACCACCCCTCTAGTCAGCATAATCTGTGAGGCATTTTAACTAAGTCCTGTCTTTAGGATGGCAGAGAAGTCCCTTGGCTTCCTATTCAAGCAATCAGCCAGAAATGAGCCATGGAGCCTTATAAAAGTCTCATTTACATAACAGGCCCAAACAGACAACTTGGAGTGTACACGTGAGGCACTGTAGGAGGCCAAGGCCAGAGGGCTGTGTGTCTTGTCCTCAGCACACCTGTAACTTCCACCTAGCTCATGTTACCCCAGCTCATGACAGGGGCTGAGGTGTCATCATCTCTACAGGTGAGGGTTTTGCCCTTTGTCTTGGAACCCCATCTTAAGAATCTAAGTCCCATACTCCCTTAGGCCATTCTGATCATTCAGCCCTTGGTACCACACTGGGCACTCTGCCAGGTCTGCACTAAGTGCTGTCCAAATAAATTCACTGTCACTAACACTTACCTCACCTGATGGTAAGTGGGCGGGGAGGGGGCAGCGGTGGGGTGGATGCTACTGTTTCTATTGATTCCAATTCCAATTCAGACTCCTAGCATTTCTTTTAATTTAATCTAAATCAAGAATCAAAAAATGCAGAGCCAAGACTACTGTGTGTGTTACCAAATTCGTCTTCCATGGCCATGATTATCTCCACTTGGTCCAAACTGTCTAAGCCCAGATCTTTCATAAAATGGGAATTTACCGAAAGCTGCAAGAAAGGAACACCAAACACAAAACTTAATACGTGAAGCATTTGCTTCCCAAGAAAAGAGAGTGGTACAAGCCACTCAATCATTATACAGAAAATTTTTTGAAATATAGAGGTTAAATATACAACTAACATATTTAACCTCTGCTGGAACGTACATGGCATGCCTTACATATTCTTTTGACTTTTTCACTTTTATCCCCCCCACCCCCCCATTTAACTTTGCTTTGCAGTGGTTAACAATAATTACAAAAAGCTAATGGAAGATTTCACTTTACATTTTTTTGTTTAGTTTTTTGCCAGTGGCCGGTATGGGGATCTAAACCCTTGATCTTGGTGTTACAAGGTGGTGCTCTAACCAACTGGGCCAACTGTCCAGCCCTCACTTTACATTTTCAGTGAGATCTTTGGTCAGTGCTCAGAATGACATCAGGAGTTTGGTTTTTCTTGCTGCCTTACTGACAAATTAGACCCCATACCTTAGAAGTGGCATTCCTCTCCCTCAAGAATATCAGACTATAGCAAACTGTAGGCAGCTTCAAATTACAACGTGTTTATTATCACCCTGTCTTTAACTTAAACCTCAATATCACCAGGCAGAATTCTTCAAAAACCCGTACCAAAAACAATCCTACTCACACAACAGATTCAATTAAAGGATTTATTTATTTATTTACTTACTTACTTACTTATTTACTTACTTATTTATTTAAAAAATGTACCACTATGAGAACAATTCCAAGAGTTGTTAAGTTAAAAAAAGCAAGTGAATACACCAAGGTCACAGGTTCAGATCCCTGTACCAGCCTGCCACCAAAATTAAAAAAAAAAAAAAAAAGCAAGTGGCAGAGCAGTGTTTACAGTAACTACACACTTGTGTTTTTTAAAAAGGGTGGGAGGGAGCTGGACAGTTAGCTCACTTGGGAGAGCATGGTGCTGATAACACCAAGGTCAAGGGTTCAGATCCACATGCTGGCCAGCCACCCCACCCCCCAAATTTCAAAAAAATAAAAAGGGTAGGAGACATACATAAATATGTACAATGTACATATATGTGTGTATACTTCCTTATATATGCACTGAGTATCTGGAAAGACACACAAAAAGCTGTTAACACTGGCTTGTCTCTCTGAGGGGAACTGGGTAGTTGGGAGCCTGGAAACTTTACTGAGTGTCCTTTTGGGACCCTTTAAATATCATATTTTGTGATAAAATACTCTAAATTTAAAGGAAAAAAAAACTTAAACCACCATCAATTACCTTTTCTGGGTCAATCTTGTCATAGAGTTTCAAGACGTAGAGAACACGGTCCTTGATTCCCTCTAACGTCAAAGGGGGAGCGTCGCTATACTGGCGGCACAACTGTGTAACTCTACCTGGAACCTAGAGTATGGGGAAGAAGGAAACATTGTCATTGAACCTAAAATGCCTCTAAATAAATGCACAAGCCTACAGATATCTTTCACAAGGTCTTTTGGGCTTTAGAGAACCAACATCACTTGATTCTAATTGTGGCCATTAGGACACACCAAATCACAATGCTGGGTCCCTCATCCTTACCCATGTTTGGTAGTCTCAGAAGCCTTAGCAGGTCAGCAGCATCAAAATGGGCCTCCTTGGGGCCGGCCCGTGGCTCACTCGGTAGAGTGCGGTGCTGATAACACCAAGGCCCCGGGTTCGGATCCCATACAGGGATGGCCGGTTCGCTCACTGGCTGAGCGTGGTGCTGACAACACCAAGTCAAGGGTTAAGATCCCCTTACCGGTCATCTTTAAAAAAAAAAAAAAAAAAATGGGCCTCCTTTCCCCTCAGAGGCAGGACTGTCCCCTCTGCCTCCTGGGTTCAGCCCTCAGGCTTTAGATATCAATCATGCTCAGTGAGACTAACTGCCACTCAAATTGTCTAGGGTTTGCAGAAAAGCCTAAGTCTTCTCACAGCATCTTCAGCATCCCACAGCCTCTATGTCACCTTTAATAGGCAAACTTCAGTCAAAATAACCCACATGGAAAGAACTGTCATGGAAGAACATGGTACAGTGTCATGGTGAGCTGAAAGGCAATTTAAACTGATGACCATACAAGAGAAGGGTCTAATTTGACTCCAGTGGTAATTACACTAACCTCAGCCAGGACAAATGAAGATAGCCACCAACCCAACGGGGAGGATAAGGGAACATGACAGTCATCTGTTGCAACCTGTTTCCCTTCCAGGTAGGCCTGCCTTATAGCCACCAGCCAAACCATAGGCTTTCTGATCTGTACCATGATAGAATAATATCTCAAATGTCTTTGATGTTAGCCTGTTTGATATTCAACTAGGTATTAAGGTCTTGACCAGACTTCATTCACCAGATGCAGGATAAGCTCCAACTCAGAGGTCAGGGGTTTAATGCCATGGAAGGTACACATGCAGAACAAGAGAAAACAAAACAGGTGTCTGGCAGTTTTGCTTACTATGGAAGTCCCTAATCTAAATTGGTCTGTTAACCTTCTAAAGTTGATTTTAAGGAGTTCTTAGGGCATTTCCCCATAGAGAGCAGGTTTGCTTGTTGTGGCTCAGGTTCCTGAGACTCACAAAGGTCTATAAAAAATCCTAATAAATCTGAAAATTGGGTGAGGGATAAAAAAGAAAAAAATCCTAGTAAAAAACACTGGCAAATGAACCAAACCAGTATACAGAACATTTATCTTGCATAAAAATCAGGTACTGAAATCAGGTTTAATCAGCAAGCTAAAGAGGTTGGTCGAAGAGTTCTATGGCTATCTAAAGAGTATTTCTGAGTACTTTCAAGAGTTTTAGAGCACTTTTCTTTTTTGTCTAAATTTATGTTCTCCTTTCCTTTCCCATTACAGCATGGGTTAAGGAAATCCTTGATAGGGCATATCACCAGGCCTACTTATCAACAATGACTAGAAGAGGTTTCCAAGACACAAACAAAATGAAGAAGCAGAAAGGAGTAAAGAGAAAGAGGGAGAAGAAATGAGTTAATAGTGGTAATGACAGAAAAGAAGTTTGAATCAGAAGGATCTAATCTAACAGAGGCCCTGCCCTGTCTGTGTGCATATCGAGAAACACGAGATGGAATTAGCGCTGAAGAAACGGGGAAAGAAAAGGCAGAGGCTGACATCTGCATAGGGCCCAAAAGGAAAGGAAGGGACTGGTGAGGGTATGTTCATAGGTAGCTACCCATGTGGCTCACTAGGTGTCAACATCGTCCCCAGTAGCATGGGCTAGTGCCTACAGGGGTCAGATAGGTACCATGTGATTAAATTAAATTACAAAAGTCTCCATCTGGAGTCCCCGCGCAGCTCGAGGTGGGTTGCTGCAGTGGAGTCAGCATGAGGCAATAAGGTATAGTGGGCAAGAGCTCAGACTCTGGAAGTAGACTGCCTGTGTGTGCGCCCTGGCACTGGCTCTTACTAGCTGTATGGCCCGGGGCAAGTTACTTAACCTTCTACACCTCAGTTTCCTTATCTGTAAAATAGGGATAAACAATAGTACCATGCTAACAAGATTGTTGTGAGTCATCAGTGAGATGAAGGGCTTAGAACACTGCCTGGCACATATGAGGGGGTCTTCAAAAAGTTCTTGGAAAGATTCATACTATCTTTTAATTCTATTTTTCCACAAACTTCTAAAGTACCCTGGGTTTTCTAGTAGGATCGTGATAATGACCTGCCAGTTTGACACCATGGCTGTAAAGGAGCCCCCAAATACTTGATCCACCTCTTTCCTTCTCATGCCCCCGCTTCTGGTTTATTGATTTCTTGTCACTGAGTCAGGCTATGATACTGCTCTAAGCACTTTACACACATCTCTCCTTTAGCTCTCACAGTAATCCCTTGAGATACGTGGTCCTCCCCTTTTACAGATTAGAAAACTGAGGCAGAGAAAGATTAGGTATCCCATCCCAGGTCTCCCAGAATGGTCTCCTGGAGGGTCTTACTGTTCTATCCTGCTAGAGCTCAGTTGTTTAGAAAAAAAGGATATAGAATGGGTAAGCATCCCCAAAACAGCCAACATGAGTTTTCTTCTCCAAGATCTACACTTGAGACATAAATCAACTCCCCCAGACATCAAAGACACTGCAGGAAGAGTGACTACCCTCTGAACTAATAACTCAAACTGATTATTTTCCATCAGAATCCATCTTACTCCACTAGCATCCATCTCTGTCTGAGGGAAACTCAGAGGAAGCTAAGGTAACAGCTTTAAAAGCCATCTCTATAAACTGCCCCCTGGACAGCTCTACACAGGTAGCCCGGACAGCTCTACACGGGTAGCCCAGACATCTCAAACTCAACTGTCTGGAAACAACTCGCTATCTGTCTCCTGCTTGCAGCCTTCTATTCCTCTCCACCACCTGGGGCTCTAGCCAGAAACCTCCACTCTTCCCATGCTTTTACCGTCACGTTTACTCGGTTACCCAGCATGGCTGGTTGGGAGGAAAGTCTCACTTATTCCTTCAACAAACCTTGCTTCATGTTCATTCCCTGTGACCATGGCAGAGAACGTCCACACTGTGGCATACAGTGCCCTTCGCAACATGCCTACAGTCTTCCCACCGAAACTCTCCCTTGCACAGACACCCTAAGAGTCAACTATAAAGATGTACGACGGTACTTCAAAAGTTCACAGAAAGCTTCGTATTATCTTTTAATTCTATTTTTCCACGGACTTTCTGAAGTACCCTCATAAGTGCCTGGCTCTTCCTGACCTCAGCACAAGCCTTCAAGACCGTACGCAATGGAGGTTGGTCAGTCCCTCTTCTTGCTTCTGCTCTGCCCACACACCTGTTCCCGCATGGGGCACCGTCTCTCCTTCATCCAGTTACGTTGACTGTCCCGGCTGCCGGCAAGCTGTACCGGTGTGCCAAGGACTGTGCGACGGCTGGAAATACAAGGATGAATAAGACATGACCTTCGCCTCAGAAAAGCCAGTGTGGTTTCCTCTTCGTACCGTTACTGGACTTCCGCAGAAAGCGACCACGGTGTTTATCATCACCACACCTAAGGGCACCACTGTTTCGAAGCTCGCCAGACACCGCGCCAGGGGCTCTCCCTGCACTATCGTCTAAACCTCACTGCCCACTCCACCAGGTACAGACTGGTGTCCCACCCAAGCGCTTCAGTCTGAGGTTCTGCGAGGTTACGAGACTTGTCCAAAGTCTCGGTAAGTGGCAGCCAGGATTCGAACCCCGGGTATCTGACGTGAGTCTGTGCTCTTGCTCGCAATCACTAGGTTATCCGGCCTCCCGGCAGGGGTCGACCAAACACTATCAGACAGCGAGGCTTTGAGCAAAGAGCCCCCCGGGTCACTCTCGCCTGCAGCTGGCGCGGCTGCCCTCCCCCTCCCCCCACGGGCGGGCACGGTCCCTGACCCCTGCCAAGGCCGGCAAAGTCACCACGAGTCACCTGCGCGAGCGCCGAGGACAGCTGAGGAGCCTCGGGCCTCGTCCAGGCCCCCGTAACACACAGAGCGGTGCTCAGCGGCCGGGCCACGGCCAGCGTGGGAACCGTGGGCAGCGGCGCTAAGGCCGCGGGCAGGCGGCGGACGCAGGAAGAAAGGACACGAGCCGCCATGGCTACGCCGACCCAGGATGCACTGCGCCACGGCCTACGGCCCGGGTTTTCTCTGAGGCTGCGCGCGAGCGGCGCACGGAGTGGCGCTATTTCTCGGCGCCGGCGGTGGCGTCCCCTGGCGTCCCCTGGAGGTACTGCACCCTTGCCGTGCGGTCCCGCCAACCAGGTTAGGCAAAGGGCTACTTCGTGCCATTCATTCATGCGCAGAACGGAGACTGCGCAGACGCCGTCTTTCCCTACACACAAATTTCACACAGGGGAATTTATTTTTATTTCTTCTCTGAAAGTTCTGAAATACATTTATTTAAAAGTTTTGATGCCGCGGTTCTTGCACAGGTGTTAACATTTATTTAATAGGTCAAAAAGTGTAATATAAGAATGTGAAGAAAATAATTGATTTAAATATATAACTAAGACTGATAAATGTGGGAGTTACAATAAGAACAATGTACATGTTTTAAAACTTGACAAAGTGTAAATAACATCACTAACAAAAATGAGTAGGGCCGGCCCGTGGCTCACTCGGGAGAGTGCGGTGCTGATAACACCAAGGCCAAGGGTTCGGATCCCACATAGGGATGGCCGGTTCGCTCACTGGCTGAGTGTGGTGCTGACAACACCAAGCCAAGGGTTAAGATCCCCTTACCGGTCATCTTTTTAAAAAAAAAAAGAAAAAAAAAATGAGTAAGTGGGGGCAGAGTCTAAGTATGCTACTTCCCTCGTATTTCTTAGCAGGGAGCCTAAGGATATTGATTGACATCGAAACATATAGAACAGTGACTCTAAACTGCATACCGCCTTCACTTTTACTTGTTTTTTACTTTTGTTAAATCCAAGTAAAATAAAATGTAATGCCGTTAAAATAGAATGCAAAATATGATCTCACTGTTGTGAAACTAGTTCTTAATCTGCAACATAACTAGCACCACTTTAGACAAGCCTAAGTACAAAATGGCACCATCCACCTCCTCCCCTCCCCACCCCCTTTCCCTTTACAAAAGCCTCCCGACTTAAACAGAAACACCTTTTGCTTCCCGCAGGGACGCAGTTCTCCACCCTGATCCATATTAGCATAATGACCCTCCTTGATGGTATCAGCCAGCCGTTGGTGCACTATATAAGATCTACCACCCCCACACCGGGTGCTGTCCCCTTTTCAGGGCAGCCCTGGGCTGCCTGCTACTTTGAGCACAGCCCAGGAGATTTTCTTCCTATAATAAAGCTTGAAAGGTAGCTGGCATCTCGGCTCACTTTCTTCATTCTATTTATGCATTCATTGAAAAATTGAGTATCTGTTATGTCAAGGCCCCAGCAGTAAGCAAGCCAGACAGGCAGTCTATTTTCATAGAGTTTACATTCTAGTGGTAAAAGATGAACAATAAACAAATAAAACTATACAGAAAACAAAAACACCGAAACTCCAGGAAGTAGTGATAAGCACAATGAAGAACAAAACAGGGAAGGGGATAGTGAGGGGTGCAGGGGGTATATTATTTTCGATAAGGTGGTCCCTGAAGGCCAGTTTTAGGAGGTAATATTAGAGCCAACCTCTTAACAAATCCAGGGATGGTAAACAGCATCATCCTACTGCTGGTGTTGCCAGCCAGTCTCCATGGCAATGCCAGCAGGCCACACCAGGCTTCTCCTGCATCCTGCTTCATCTCCACCACCTCCCTGCTTATTAAACAATTGGAAGAGCAGTTGTATCACCTCTTTGTGAAATCACTGAGTAACTGGCCAACCTCCATTGTAAGCAGCGGTCTTCCATTCCTGCAGAAAACTATCTGGCACCAAAAACCTGACTGGAATTGTAGGATCATAGATCTGCTGAAGTCACCAGTGACACACCTGCCCCTGATTACTCCTTCCTGGCCACACTCTAGGGCAGACTCAGGGAACAGACCCATGATGGTGACCATGCAATGGTCACCATTGACATAAGAGGTAGTGCTCAGGAAGAACCAGATAGCCTACTAAGCCCACACTAGGGACCATCTCTTCCCATGACCTATCTAGTTTTTCTGTTATAGTTAATTCTTTTGTCTAACATAATAAATGATCTCATAAATGGTAGAATTTGGGAGAGCTACTTTTCCCTTCAGCAAATACATAAAGAGAAAATGTCAGCCTACATGGTGTATAGCCTAAGAGGTCCAATATTAAGATTAAGTCCTTGGCAGCTGGGGAAGATTTAAGAGTGGATGTGTGTGCTTTTCAGTAGCACTCCCATCAAAGGATGAGTAACCATAAACAATGTCAGCTTCCCCCACACCCCACCCCAACTATCCCACCAGTTATCCCTCCCTCTTTCCAGCCCATCTGCAATATAGTCTCATCTCCTCCTGTTGCCCTGGGACCTTGTACCAAGAGTTATCTGTTTTTCCTTATATCTTTAGCCTTTTGTGTGTGTGTGTGTGTGTGTGTGTGTGTGTGTGTGTGTGTGTGGGATCTGAACCATAACCTCTCTTTCTTCTGGCTATTTCCCGAGTCCATAAATATTCCAAGGTTTCTCTTAGCCTAAAAACAAAGCCAGAGATCTCCTCAGCTGACCCTTCATATACTCAGATCTCTAACACCACCATTCCTCCTTCCTTTCACAGTCAAGCTTCTTGAAGGAATAATCAACACTGTTTCTTTAATTCTGTGGAGTATGCATAAAGCAAATGTACTTCACAGGGCCTGGTTTTCCAAAGCCTTGTAGTTGCAAATATTGACCTTGCAAAGGGCAGGAAATTTTCCCCAGGCTATAGTCTCTGTTGTAAGATAAAGAATTGTAACACGGCAAGATTGTTGGCTCAAAGACAGACAGGTTACTGGTTGATATGTAAAGATACTGGGAAATTGCTGTAAGAAGAGAATGTTTCCTAAAATCAAGCTTTTGTTGCAAATTGCATTATGGAATGTCACCTTGCTTGTCTTACTGAATGTTACCAGCTTCTATTGTTAAACTTGTTAAACTATACTTAGCAAAAACCCCACCTATGTTCTCTTCCTGTAACTTCCTGGTCTGGAGAATAAATGTGGGAAGAGAACCCCAATTCATGGTTAATTTCCCAAATGGAAGGAATTCTTCTATCTTGAGGGTTCTGGGAAATTAACCCCTTTTCAGGGCTTCTCAGTGCTCAGAAGAGATGGGCTTTGAGTAATCTTTGGCGGCTCTGTCGCCCAGGGTAAAAGGGGTGACAAATCCGTGGGAGGCAAAGCAACAAATTCCTTACATTATATGCCCTCCTTTATCCATTAGATTCTAGACGCAGCCCTCCCCCAACCACTGAAACTTTTCATAAAGTTCATCATTGCATCTCACATTGCCAAAGCCAACAGATGCACCCCCACTGGTCATTCCTTTTCTGGCTTTTTCATGGCTCTATCTCCTTCACTCATCATTTAAACATTGGTCCACAGGGCTCTGTCCTTAACCCACTCTTGACTTTGTATTTTTGTTTTTTGGTGGCTGGCAGGTCTGGGGATCCCAACCCTTGACCTTGGTGTTATAACACTGTGTGCTAACCAACTGAGCTAACCGGCCAGCCCTCTTCTCTCGACTTTAAACATACAAGTTTTCACAGTTGCTTCACTCAAGAAGATTTAATTTCCACCTGCATCTAGCCCCTGGCCTTTTCTCTGATCTTCACAGTCCTATTCAGCATTCCTACCAGATAATCTATAAAGTAGCAAAAACTAATACAGTACACATCATAAAAAAGTATTGAAAGAAAGTGAGCAGAGACACCAGGTACCGTTCAAGCTTTATTAAAGGAAAAGAATCTGCCGGGCTGCGGCCAAAGTGACAGGCAACCTGGGGCTACCCTCAAAATGGGGGACAGCACCAGGTGTGGGAGTCGTAGAGCTTATATAGGGTGCCAAGGGTTGGCTGATATAATCAAGGACGGGCATTATGCTAAGGTGGAAGCTATGCAACCAGGGTGGAGAATTGCGCCCTTGCAGAAGCAAAAGTGTTTCTGTTTAAGTCACAGGCTTCTCGTAAAGGGAAATGGGGAGGGGTTTGGTGCTGGAGTGGAAGACAAGGCCGGCGGCTATTTTGTGCTTATTGTGTGCACAGTGGCACCAGTCACTTCCAAGATCCATCATTCCCGCCTTTTAAATATAGGGAGAAGGGAAAGGGGGCAAAGGTCTTGTTCTTCTGAAGCTACGTCCTGCTGGAGATGGGGGAAGATATGGAAAAAAAATAAAAGATTTATGTTGGCGGGTAAAACAATTAGGTGGCGGGGTACTGGTTTTGTGTGGGGAGGCTGTATTCTTCTGGGGGAGGGTCGCTGATTCTGAGGGGCTGATATCCTCCTCGCAGGAACAATTTGGCAACCTTTTGGTTGGTAAAAGCCTGCATACATTCCTGCAAGAAATTAGAGAAACACCAAAAGAGACAGAGACCAAAAAGTAGGATGAGGCACAGTTAGGGGTCCTAGTAGGGGCATAGGCCAGGGTATCCAAGGATTCAGTGACTGGGGCCACCTCCCAGGTGTGTTTGTGTTTTGTAACCCTTTGCGTCGGCGATCAATGCTTGCCTTTAAATGGTTTGTTTTGGATCACCCCGGACTCATTTATGTAATAACAGCATTCCTCCCCCAAGAAGAGGCAGATGCCTTCCTTCTCGACTATAAGGAAGTCAAGGGTCCAATGGTTCTGTAAAGCGACTGTGTGACCTGTCATTGGAGGGAGGAGATACTATCTATACTTAGTTCTTCTGAGAGTTTTTGATAGAATTGAGAGGCAGTAGCAAGGCCTGCTATGCCTGTCCCAGTTGCAGGAAGGATCCCTGCCCCAACTAAAAGGTACAATTAGTGCCCTATGGGAGGGGGGGGGGGGGCACTTCAGCCAAAGTGCCAAAGTTAGTCCCAGTCCTATCTCCATCCCTCCATCTATCTGGACTGTGATGTCAGGGATGAGCCAAACGAATATGCAAGAAATCCTGTTAGGGGGCAGGCAACAGGATAATGTAGTTTTACAAAGGAAGTATATTCCGGTTTTAGGGCGTGGATGAGGAGGGGGTAAGTGAGTGGCAGCGT